ATGTGTGTGTATGTATGTATGTATGTATATACATAATTTGCCTTGCAGTAATACTTTATATGAAAAGCTCAATATTTAAAAAAAAACCAGAATATTTGGTCATAACATTGCAACATAAAATAATAATATTGAGAAGATATATGTTGCAGTAATACAAATTGTTATTTGAACTATTTATTTGTTTTTAGGCCTAGATTTTAAATAATTAGGTAGGCCTACCTAGGCCTAGAACTACTAACAATTATACATAGTAGGCATGGATTGGGATTGGTCATGTGCTAAGAGAATGTGATCACTTAAAATAGTTTTAGAATGCCGCTATCAGGGGAGAGCTCAAGAGAAGAAGGAAAAGAGCATTTCTATATCAAATGAAACAGGGTGACAGTTTAGAATAAACAGCTCTGAAATACTGGATGCCATAGGACCAGCCAAAACGGCAGATCACCAATGATATATTTAATCTATTATTATTGTTATTATTATTATTATTATTATTATTATTATTATTATTATTATTATTATTATTATTATTATAATCATCATTATCTTTATCATTATCATTAAACATTAATTAATTTACAAGTCCTGTAATGTCGGAATGTTATATTTAAGTTATTATTATTTAATAAAATTTTTCTTATGCACTGTCCCCTTTTTAATTTTTGTCCAATTTTTTTCTTCAAAAGTTCCATTAATGTCATGGGAAGCGTGACTACTGGTGTCAGGTCCAGACCTTAGCTAAGGGGCCTAGGCCTAGTCTATGGAGGGCCCTAGGTAGGACCTACCGGTAACTCAGCCTGTAGGTAGGCCTAGGTTTACCCTTTTTTTTATACCGTTACCGTTGGTAAACATATGGAAAGTAAAACTCGAGCGTCACGACATTGTAAAGTGCCTGCTTCCAATGTTCCTAATAATAAACTTAATATCGTATGGAACTCAAGTAGAGTCAATACGAGACGGCCCGAATGGAGTTTTATGAAAATGTTTCGTACGGGGAAAAAATCACATCCGGGATGACATATATGTATAACACAATGGCGTGCATTTCGATACTTGGAGTATATATTATACTATCTTATCTGAGATTAATCGGTGGACCTTTCGGTTTTTATAGAAACAGTAGACAAAATAATGCAATGAATAAGTGGGCCTATTATTGAAGCATAATAATATATTCGATTCTATTAATCTCTTAATTAATTAATTTTGTTAACAAAACAACAAAATTTAAACATTTTTGATATGACATCATTATCGACATCTGCTATGTTGTTGTTAAATTAATTTGGTAACTTACAGGTATGAAGTAGTCACCGGGATTCCGTCAGGTAAAGTACGGAGTCCAAGTCCCGTACAATTAACAGTCCATGTCTCGTCAACATTTTCCCAACATATACAAACTGCAACCGAACTATCATTTCCACATGCTGACTGGGTTGAAACCTGGAAAACAAATTTTAAGATCAGGACAGCTGTGCAAAGTAATGTAGTCATTCCAGTAGTACAAGTTTCCAAAAAAGAATTACAACAAGGAAGCAATGGAGATGATTTAATAAGTTAGATGCAATAGCATCTAGTAGGCCTAACAAACATTTAAAATAACAAATAAATGTTTTGAGTTAAATAATGAACCCATTCATTATACTGCAGAAGCTCATCTATATTAATTCTATTCAATAATAATGCCGCATTGTACGCTTTGCAATGCCTTAGTGCGACACAACAATAAACCCGAAAATAACTTAGAGCTAGCTAATACAGTAATATAAAATACACAATCACACGTACAGTATCGATTGCGGATTGTGCACTTTTTGTCTGCATTCTGTCCGCAGGCAACGTGTTCCACTTCCGCCATCTAAATTTTGATGGGTTGGGGATTAGTTCAAATCGATTCCATTAAAAATATGTCTCCATCTAAACAAAACAAGCAACAAGACACTTTAACATTTTGAAACTGACATTGTTTTCTAAACGATATATTCCATATTGTTGGTAAATAATTGTAGTCTCTTACAGGTGAAATATTCACCGGAATTCCGTCAGGTAAAGTACTGAGTCCAAGTGCCGTAGGCCTACAATTACCAGTCCAAGTCCTTTCAACATTCGTCTGGCAGTGACAAAAACAAGTGAGGAATAGGTGTGTGGGGCGAATGTCGAGCACGGGAATGAAACGACTCACGACGACTTTGACGGTCCGCAAGGAGTTGATTCATGGCCTCCTTAAGGGCAGTTAATTATCTCCTGTCGAAGATCATCTATTTGTGTACCACATTGACGGGGACTGGCAATGTGCCTGAGGAAGATTGGTAAATTCGGTGGTTTCATTGGAGTACTCAGTATTATACGAAGCTGTTTAAGGGACATGATGAATTTTTATGTACCTAACCCGTACGTACGCCTTATTAAGGCGTACGTACGCCTTATGGGTTATTAAGGCGTACGTACGCCTTATTAAGTCGTACGTACAACTTATTAAGGCGTACGTACGCCTTATGTAACCCGTACGTACGACTTATTAAGGCGTACGTACGCCTTATTTAACCCGTACGTACGCCTTAATAAGGCGTACGTACGCCTTAATAAGCTACGTACGACTTATTAAGGCGTACGTACGCCATGCACTATCGACTGCATGGAAATTCTTATTGAAACACACAGAGATTGAAAGCTCCAATCATTGACATGATGGTCTGAGTATAAACAACATAATACTTGTTCTGGCCTCGCAAGCGCGTGCGCTGCGCCTGATATCCAGACAGCTAACCTCCAAGAAGACGAGTTTTGTACTGTAAAACTTTATTCTTGATCATGACGTTATCTTTAATGGTAAACTGTAATAAGATAATAAACATATATGTATACATAATCCCATACACCATAATAACTAAATAAAACATATAATGGTAATTTAAGCAAGCATAAACTTATAAGCATACTGACACTTCCAAAACTACAGTGTCGGCAATAATAATGTACTCAATTAAATCAGTAGGGTAAGTTCGCCAGCTAGCTAGGTAAACCCAGCATGGGATACCGCTAGTACACATGTTAAACAAGCCAAGTGGCTAGCCTTTTATAGTACAAGGCTTACAGTGACAAAATCTACAGCATTGCATAATACATATAGAAATAATAACAATCGGACGTATATGGAGTGCGGAATCGCTCAATATTCAGTTCCTGAACTGCAGTCAATTAGAAACTTACAGCAGCGATTTCTCTGGCCTCTGATTGGTCAAAATATGCATCGAGGGCGCTAAACTCGCTGCGGTGAGATAAACTCACTGCAGTAAGTTTTTTTTCTGCTCTGTGATTGGTTGGAATTTTTTGCCAAGAAACTTGCTGCAGAAAGTTTTATGTACCACCCAAACGCTTTACTACGCTGCATTTGATTCGTCGATGAACTGAAAGTGTCCCCCATGTATAAACTTCGTATCAGTGTACATCACATGTTCGAAAACTTTTCAAATATTATACTGTTATGCATCTAATTATACACCCTTTTAACAGCAACAATGAATGGGCGTATCGTATTGCTATTACTGGTGAGTTGATTGTCTGTTACAAATTAAGCAAACATCTCAATTTTATATTAATTTACGTTAATCGTAGCCGAAACTACGACCTGTCAAAACGAGACAGGCTGGTCGTAGCGCAGGCCTAAAGGACGCTGCACTAACACAACCGCTACGGTATAGCTATGAATACAGCACTGAACATAGTACAGTACTTTCAACCGACGGAGGCTGGTTGATTATACTAGAATATATATGTAACTTAAAAAATAATGTCTATGAACTTACAAGGAATGCTTCCTCATGAATAGGAGACAGTGATCACGATGGCATTTCCTTTAATGTTTCCATCGATGCGATAAAAAGGATGTTTAACACTAAAACAGTTTACCAATTTGCCAAAGCAAACTTCCATAGGATGTATGAACAGTTTGAAAATGTAGATTAGATGTCTTGTTTTGATGCTGACAGTATCGATTCTACATGGTCTAATTTTAATGCCCTTTTTCCCCTCTATCTTTGACAACAATGTTCCTAAATCCAAAGTCAGGTCGAGAAAAAGGTCACCATGGATAGATAAAGATATACCCAAACTTTGTCGGAAGAAAAAGAAAATGTATAAAAAGGTTAGGAAGTACCCTAACAACATGGTAGTTTGGTCAAAATTTAAATCTGTAAGAAACCAAACAAAATATGCAATAAATAAGTCATATTCTAGGTATGTTGTTGAAGTTGCACGTGATGCCTACAAAAATCCTAAGAGGTTCTGGGCATTTGTCAATACTAAACATTCTAAACTGATTCCAACATGTTTTAATTGACAACACGGTTACCTCAGATCCGTTTGTTATTGCTAACGCATTCAACTCACATTTTATTAAGAATTTTTCTATTGATAGGGAGGGTGATGATGAAATTGATTTTCACTCGGAATAATGCACACATACGCATGGAAAAATTAACATCACCGAGGAAGAGGTGACTTCTGTAATTAAATCTTTAGGAATTCATAAATCCCCTGGGCCTGATAATATCACTCCCCGAATGCTCAAAATGGCCTCTAACTGGATTACTCCTTTTCTAACTAAGATGTTTAATCTTTCACCGCTTTGGGTGTATTTCCAACTGAATGGAAGCTCGCTAATGTAATTCCTCTGCATAAATCCGGCCCTAATGCCTGTTTACACAATTACAGACCCATATCTCTCACATCCTCTGTGGGTAAATGTTTAGAACGCATTGTGGCCAATAAGATCATGCGTTTTTCCATTGAAAACGGACTAATTCCCCCGTCACAACATGGATTCTTACCTCAACGTTCGTGCAACACACAACTTGCCACCCTTTTCCACTCTTGGAGCAATACACTTGATCCTCCGTGTGCTCATCGCATTGATGCTATTTTCCTCGATTGGTCGAAAGCTTTCGACAAACTTTCACACTCAAACTTATTTTCAAACTCAAAAATCTTGGTTTTCGCTCCTCTTTACTTGCTTGGATACAATCCATTCTCAGTCAGAGGTATCAGAGGGTTTCATTTTCGGGGGTTTTGTCAGATTGGGGAAACATAACATCGGGTTTTCCACAGGGGCCCGTTCTCGGACCCCTGTTGTTCAACCTCTATGTGTCCGACCTGCCTTTTCTCATTGCTATTCCGCAATACGCAGATGACACTCTCCTTTATCGTACCATTCACAATAATGAAGATTCTATTATTTTACAAAGAGATTTAAATACTGTGGTTGAATGGGGTTACAAAAACAATGGTGTTGAATAGTAAAAAGTGCAAAGTTATGCACTTAACTAGAAGTAAGAAAGTCATTGACAATGTATATAAAATCAAAGAGGAAATATTAGACTCTGCAAATAGTTTTAAATACTTGGGGTTGATTATTACTTCCGAATTAAAAAGGGGATGAGCAAATTAAATACATTACTTCGAAATGTTAAAAAATTAATGGTTTTATTAGACGCACTGTTAAGTCCCCGTATCCCTGCGTTCTCATGAAGTTGTATAAATCTTTATCAAGACCCCTGCTTGAGTATGGTATTCCTGTGTGGTTACCGTTTCAACAAGGTCACATAGACAAACCCGAGTCAATCCAGAGATGCTTACTCGAGCCTGTTTTCGTTATACCCGGCATGATGACCCAGCCAATATCTCATATTCTGATAGACTCCATAAACTTAAATTACCTTATTTATTTAATAGATTACTCTATATTTATATTATGTTTGTTATGAAGTGTCTTCACATGGTGATCTATATTGAGCAATCCATTTTACCTCAGCCCCGTGTTAGGAATCTTGAATGATCAATTGAAATTTATTCATTATCGTGCTAGAACTAACAGTTTTTTCACTCTACTTTTATTCGTTTTCCTCGGGTGTGGGATAACTTACCTGTTGATGTTTTTTTTAGTTTTAGTTTAAATCAATTTTCAACTAAACTTAAATATCATCTTTACAGCCTGGAGTAACTTGAATTTGATGTGCTTTCTAATGTTTTATTATTGGTATTATTATTATTATTAATACCATTATCGTTATTGTTTTTATATTGCTATTTATTTGTTTCTGTTTTTCTTGCTGACACTTGTTCGTTAGGATTTCCCTTGAAAGTGAATTCTGTTCGCTATTGGATTCCTCCGGGCGAGCATGTGGCTTTTCTCTGATTTTGTATTTCTATGTGTTTTCCGGAATAAATAAATGAAATGAAGAGATAAAAAAAAAAGCAGATTAACAGAGTGTTGTAAAGTCGAAAATTAAGCCAGATAAACTGGTTAAATGAATGATTAACTTTAAGTGCAAATTCAGCATGTTCGCAGGTAGCCATGTAGTAAACAACAGTCATCTCACAATCCTGTAAAGTAGGCCTATTTAAAAGGGATTGCCCCAAATGGTTTGATTAGGTGGTAGAGCATCTGAAAAAGCTATTGTTGTGAAGTCTTATGGATTTCATTCTTGCTGATTGGGGTTTCACTATTACAAGGTTTAATAGGGAATTATTAATTCATAGAGCTAAACTTCATATGTATTGTTTCACTCTGTGCAGGCCCCATAAATTGGTAATAATCCAGGGATCCCAATTTAAAAGAAAAAACAAACAAACAAACCCACACAGGGACAACTTTTTCGTATTGGTTGTACGGTACTGTACTGTACTTTTCTATGACGTGTGATTACCAGGCACACTCTTTGTCAAGGAGATTATGAATGAAGATGCATTACAGTTGAAATTATGCATAACGTCACCATAAGAAGCCACACCCTCTCGGCTGAAGTGGTTGTATTTAGCAACTACCGTTGTTGTCGTTCCATAGAGCTGTTGAACAACTAGAGTGCTGACAAGATGGCGAAGAAATGCAGAGTTGTGTATGTGTACCATCCAAGATGGCCGGCAAAGGAAAGCGCCACCTTCAGGCTTAGTATACAATTACCATAAATAAACCCTCTGACTGACTATTATTTCATTAATGATAATTAGTATTGATAATAACAAATTATTAAACTATCGTAGCCAAAAAGAGGCTAAGTAGAGCATCGTATTCAAAAATGTAAAAAAAATTAAAATCGTGTACATTACACCCATACACCGCAACGCTCGAGTTTCAAACTTACGGGTAAACTAGCTGTACTGAACTTTCTGTGTAAGTTTAGGGCGCCATTGAAAATGATAGCGCTTAGGCGAAATTTGATTGGCTGAATCTATGGC